AACTTCCGAAGGCAACTTCTGTTCCATTGAATATAGAATACCAGCGTTGGAAGGGACCTTGTAGGTCATCTAGACCAACCCCCTGCCCAAGCAGGAGACCCTACACCATTTCTGGTCCAGTCTCTTCTTGAAAAGCCTCCAGTAATGATGCTCCCACAACTTCCCAAGGCAACTGTTCCGTTGGTTGATTGTTTTCCCTGTCAGAAAGTTTCTCCTTATTTCCAGGTTGAATCTCTCCTTGATCAGTTTCCTTGTCTGGCCTTCAGAAAATAGGGGGCTTTAGAAAATAGCTTGACCCCCGTCCTCCTCTCTGTGGCAGCCCCTCAAATATTGAAAGGCTGCTCTCCTGTCTCCCCTGGTCCTTCTCTTCCCTAGACTAGCCATGCCCAGTTCCTGTAACCGTTCTTCATATGTTTTAGCCTCCAGTCCCCTCATCATCCTGGTTGCTCTTCTCTGTACTTTTTCTAGAGTCTCAACATCTTTTTTATAATGTGATGACCAAAACTGGATGCAGGACTCTAGGTGTGGCCTTACGAAGGCTTTATAACTTCCCCAGTTATATGGCAAAATCCAAAAAGCCACCGATCTAACTTGGATCTTTTGGATTAATTCATTATACAGCAACCTGGTAACTTTCCACTTTATAACTGTGATAAGGGAAAAAAGTCAGGCATTCCTGTACGAATCTCTTTTGAGTCCTGTGAAAACTGTAACATGCAGTGTAATAGCAGTTAAAATGTACGTAAGCTGAACTACCAAAAGAAAAGAAAAAAAAAAAGGATGCTTAAACGGTGGGTTGGACTCCAAGGTCCTTTTCCAACTTTGTTATTCTGTAAATGTTGGTGGAATCTTTTCCAAGGAAGGCTGAGCTCCGAGGACAAAGATTTGGGACAAAAACCTCCGTCTTTCTTGTTCGATTCCTTGAGTTCCACTCAAGGCAAAAGGCGAAAGGGGTTTTAGCAACTGGCAGAAGCAGCCCAGGAAGGTTCAAGACCCGCTGAAAATGAATTCAGCCACGGCTTCCATCCCACCCACCCCCAGGGGCCAGCCTCCTCTCCAGGGCAGAATCCCTCCCTAGACTGAGTTAGCCAGATGGAGTCATCGGCCTCTTGCGGCAAAGAAGAAGAAGAAGGAGGAGGAGGAGAAGGAGAAGGCGAGGCGGGCTGCTGTGCGGCTCAGGAAGCGAAAATGATCTCGCAAGCATCCAGCCAAACGCTTGGAGGCACAGAAGAGAGAGAGAGAGAGAGAGAGAGGCTTGGCTTACTGCACCAGCCCAAAAGGAAGCTCCAGGAAGCTCAGTAAACATCCTGGAAAACGTCTGTCTGGCCGGCCTAACCCAAAGCATACCTTGAGGGGGCGAAAAATCCTCTCTTTCTTCTTCTTCTTCTTCTTCTTCTTCTTCTTCTTCTTCTTCTTCTTCGGTGGATTCAGCTTTTCTGCTACTCTGGTTGAAAATAGACCTCAAGACACACAGCAGCCTTCCGACGAGCCTGGCTGCAATCCATCGCTGTATTTTTGGGTCTGTGTGACCCCAAGAATTCACATAGAATAGCAGGGTTGGAAGGGACCTTGGAGGTCTTCTAGTCCCACCCCTGGTTTGAGCAGGAGACTGTATACTGTTCCAGACAAATGGCTGTCCGATCTCATCTTGAAAACCTCCTGTGATGGAGCACCTTTCCTTCCTTCCTTCCTTCCTTCCTTCCTTCCTTCCTTCCTTCCTTCCTTCCTTCCTTCCTTCCCAGTGGTTAGAATGCAGTACTGCTATTTTCCTTCCTTCCTTCTCTTCTCTTTCCTTCCCTTCTCCTTCCTTCCTTCCTTTCGTTGTTTCTTTTTCCCTCCCTCCTTCCTTCCTTCCTTTCCTTTCCTTTCCTTTCCTTTCCTTTCCCTTTTCCTTCCTTCCTTCCTTCCTTCCTTCCTTCCTTCCTTCCTTCCTTCCTTCCTTCCTTCCTTCCGCCAATCTAAATGACAATCTGAAGTCTTTTGACGTGCCAATATTTTTTTGGGGGGGAGGGAAACAAGCCGTGACAGCCCCCACAAAAGCCCCCTTCTCCCCCAATTCCCCCAGCCTGCAGCCCAGGAAAGGTGCTTTGGGCGTTTGGACGCAGCATCTGCCGAACGGAAGGCAGCATCTTCCTTTGAGACGCTCACTTCCTTACAGCTGCCCGCGAGACCCCTGACTATGGAGCACCTTTCCTACCTCTGGGCTAGCCAAAGAACCGGGGGACTGGATGAGCAAAAAAAAAAATAACCTGGAAAAGTCTAAAACCTTTTTTTACCCGGTGGGGGTGTGGAAATAAGACGCCGATCAACCGGGCTCCCCTGCAACTAGCAGAAGGCAGAAAGGAGAGGTAGCGAGATAAAAGTAGAAAAGACCAAGGTAAAAGTAGAAAGGACCATCACACGCGCGCACACAAACACACACAAACGCACACACCCCTGCCCCACTTCCATGGAAAGCCAGCGCAAAACCCCTCGCTCACGCCGGTGCTTCTGGCGGACAAAACCCGACTTTGGTGCCCCGGGCCAAGGGGGCGACCGCCGGTGCCAAAGTCGCCTCCTTCTTCCCTAAGGTCCTCGGGCGCAGCCAGCCAGGCAGCGCTCAACCGGGTTCCCTGCGCGGACAGGTGCGCCTTCCCCCCCCCCCCCCCCCCCCAGGTAAAAAAAAAAGGTAAGGCGAGGGGAAAAACGATGGTTGAGGAAGCGATGCCTTCAGCTTTTCAGCTTACCTGGTCTTTGGGGGTCGCTGACGCCGCCGCTTGGAAGCAGAACATCCCCAAGAGCAGGTAACAGGTAACCATGATCGCCCCGCGCTTTAAGAACTCCCGTCGAGTTTAAAACCAGAATCTGGTGTGTGTGGGGGGTTGTTTTTCTTCCTTTTTTTCCTCCCCCCACGGAAGGTCGAAGCGCTAAACAGATGTGGCGGTGGGGTCTCCCAAGTCTCAAAATCCTACATTTCTGGGTCTCCTCGGGGCGAGTTCCTCTCCCCCAGACCCTTTATTTTTTTCCCCTCCACCCCCCGGTCCACGCTCCCTTTGCAAACTCCGCGCTCAGCCACTCCGCTCCAAAGACGAGGAGTAAATGGATCTTTTCAGGCAATTGCGTCTTCCAACTCGGAGCGGGGGTTTCACGGCAGCCCCAAACTTGGGGGGGGGGGGGGGAACGGTGTGTGTGTGTGTGTGTGTGTGTGTGTGTCATTAGTGTGGTGCAAAGAAAGGGAGGGAGAACTACAGGGGCATTGACAAATCCCTCCATCTGCTCCAATTTATGCATTTATATTTTTTTTAGAAGCTAAGGCAACGGACTTCCCCCCCACGCCCTCCTCTTCCCCTTTTTATACTAGGAACCGTGCCAGGGTCTTATTTGCTAACTGTGGGCTGGCATGGCTGAGTTTGAAAGAACCTTGGGGCACCATAGTTTGAAACTCCTCGGTGTATCCCCCCACACCACCGCCTTTTTTTGGGGGGGGGGGGCGGTTTAAAGACAAAACAATATTAGCCAAATTTGTACAGCTGCCCATCTCACCCCAAAGGGACCTTGGGCAGGGCACAACAACTGGATAAAAACCATACCAAAAAAACAAACAAACATGACCTATATATTTTTTTTTAAAGTTTTTAAAAATCTACATTAAGAAAGAAACGATTTTTTTTTTTTTAAAAGGAATGTGTAAACCTGTAGGAAGAGAGGATAAAAATGGCCAGCTCGATCTCCGGAATCTCTGGAAAAGAACAAACTGTCTTGATTGAAAATTGGTCCACGATCCAAACTTTATAAATGGCCTGAAAACTTTATTTTCTACAGGAAATTTCTTTCTTGCAAGACTGTTTCCTGACTGTTCTGCTTGGAAGCTGTAATTTCCTGGCATGGGGAAGTTGTTAAATTTGGCCCATTTGCTATCCATCTCACCATCTTACTTTCCTGGAAGTAAGAGGGGTAAACAGAGGTAAAAAAAAAAAAAAAATTGATGGAAACTGACTTGAACCTTGCCTGTTTTGAAAAAAGCAATCGATAGGGAAATTAATTTGGCTTTGTCTGCTCCAATCCTTGTCCGTAGTTTGAAGGTCCAAATGGACTCCCATGATAACCAACATCAGTCCTACAAGGTAGTCCAGACCAAGAAATAGATGATACATAAGCCTACAGATACTTTATCTGCTCAGGAGTTAATATTTCTAATGTTTTACCTTCTCTCTTTTCTTATGCCATTATTTTAAAGAAATCAATCCAGATTGTTTTCTTATCCCACGGATGAAAAATTATCTCCACATTGTTGGAATAAATTCTATTTTGGAATCAAATTACATTCCACCGAGTAGAATGAAATCAATAATGATAACAACAACAAAAATGAGATTGTAGGATGAGCCAAAAATTATGGTTACCCATACCATCTCTCCAACAGCATCATTTGACTTAAGACAATTTGGTTTCTCCCTATAAATTTCCTTAGTGCTGGCATACAAATTCAGATCGAATCAAATATCTTTATCATGGTCTTTGACCAGCTTTAGTAATAGGGAAAGAGAAATAATTTGGCACAGCAATTCATGACAAGGGGAAAAAAAAACAAAAATAAAACAACTTATTTAATTAAAAAGTTTTGAGTAGTTGTAGGACTTGATGTAGATATTTGGCCAGCTGGCATGTGAGTGTAGAGTTAGTAATAAACACTTATAAAGTAATAAACATAAAATTTATCAACTCTCAAATCTAGAGATGATCGGGAAGATGGAAGCATATATAAATACAAATAAAATCCACTGAATAAAGTAGGATCCTAAATTAACCGGGAGAAAAATAAGTAAAAAAAATGCAAAATGAAAAAAAAAAATAGGGATCAGACAAAGCCTTTCTCACATCTAAATCAGTTTAGAAAATTGGTAATCCCAAATGGCATGGTGGTTCAATAAAGGTAGTCCTCAACTTACAGCAGTTCATTTAGTGACCATTTGAACTTACCACTGGCACTGGAAAATGTGACTTATGACCACTTTTCACACTTATGACCATTGCAGCATTCCCATGGGACTTCCATCCCGGATGGTGAATCTTAGATACGAGCACCCAAAAACTATTGGAATTTCTGGAAGAGATCCAGAAGAAGTCAAAACAACTACTTCAGGATTCCTCCAATACATATTGGGCTTTTTTTAAAAAAATAGTATTCCTTTAATACTTTAAAAAAAAAAACCCTGATGATTAGCATCCTTTCAGGTCCATACGACAAGGGTAGAGATTTCAAAGGATTCGTCGCTGTTGTAGAATTTCCCTTTGAATCACCGTCTGCTCCAAAATTACCATGATACCACTTGGAATTATCCATTGCAACCCCGTCACATTTCCATTTACTGTACTTCAGGAAATCCAGAGTTAGCCAACGGATTGCTCATCCTTTTAGTTTAGTTTAGTTTACTTTGGTTCAGTTTATTGTCACTGCACCTCATGCAACGAAATCAAACCCCATCTTCAGTGCACATCGTGACCATGACCATGAAAATAAACACAAACACACATCCTTCACACATTGAACCAGAAACCCGACACCACACCAACACTGCACTATACAGTAGAATTCAACAGAGCTCCTGCCCTGGGATAGAAGCTGTTTTTCAGCCAATTTGTCCTTTTTTTTATTATTCTGTACCATTTGCCAGATGGTAATAGTTCAAAAAAAGGCTGCCCAGGATGAGATGGATCTTTGAGGATGTTTTGAACTTTCTTAAGGCAGCGGGAGCTATAAAGCTCTTCCAAACAGGGGAGAGGGCAACCAGTGATCCTCCGTGCAATGACATTAACCCTCTGGAGTGACGTCCTATCTGCCCCTGTGCAACTGACAAACCCTACCCAAGTGTGCAGGAAGTTAAGATACTCTCTATGGTGCAGCGGTAGAAGGTCACCAGCAGTTTTTCATTCCGTTGTTGTTTTCTGAGAAGTCTCAGGTAGTCTAATCTCTGCTGGGCCCTTTTGACCAGGGCTGCAATGTGAGCCCCCCAGGTCAGGTCCTCTTTTAGGGTAACACCCTTTTCGAAAGAAGACTCGTACACGAAGATGCTTTCTTGGATCCAAGAGTCCAGTAGAGATTTAAGGCATCTTCCCTTCAAGATGAATTCCCAAGAATATCCCACGGGGTGGGGTACCTTTGCAAATCCTAAGAAGGCCTGTTTCCTCTTGCAGGTGAGTTGTTGTTTTTCTCCCACCTCTCTGCTCCACAGAGGGTTGTGATCCTTCCGATTTGCAAACCGACTACTTCACATCAACTGGAAGTAATTATTCCTCTATCTGTACTACTCAACAGCACCGGGGCATTTGGGAGTGGGCAGCTGTTTTGACCTGGCTTATTTATTTATGTTGGATGGTTTATTCTTTCCATGTGACTCTGGCTGAGAGGGAATCCCCATCTAAACTCATAAGGTCCATCTGGAGAGAACGCTTGGCCTGAGGATGGGATGCTGCTGTTTGAAACTGCACATCCTAGAAGGGAATCCCCCAAGTCAGAGACAGATGTTCAGACACTGATGATATGGCGTGGCCAGCCATTTTAAACAAGGTAGTTCCAGTGATGAGGAGAACACAGCTCAGTCAAAATAGATATATTGCGATACTAGCTCAATACCCCTGCTTTGTGATGAAATTCTGTGGTCTGGCTTAGTTTTGGGGGAGGAAAATAAGGGGAAAAAAATCTGGCTCTGTCTACCAACATCCATTGGTATTCATCTGGCTAGCGTCCTGTCAGTGTGTGAGAGAGCTGAGGGTTGTTTGGAAAGTGAAACAGTATTTGCTGTGTGAGCAAGGAGACAGCAAGGAGCCTGGGCGTGGCTTAGCTCAACTGTTCTGTACTGAAGCTGCTTGGTGCTCTGAAACGGAAACTCCTCACCTCTGCTTGTGTTTTGCATTTGGAACAGATTTCTTTCCAGGTGGGGAGGGGGAGTAGAACTCCTTAGCATCAGAGCATCGTGTTAATAACAATAATATACAAAATACTCTAAATGCTCCGATGGTCATTTCGAAAAATCCTTTCTTGGTGAGCACCTAGAAGCCAAGAGGAACATATGTGCCCAATTTCAAGCGTGTAGGCTTTACGGTTTTGGAGATTTTACGATGATGCATGAGTGGTATTGCGCTTTTATATATATATATAGAAATCAGTCTTTTTGAATTGAGGGGTTTCCAGATGGATTGGCACTGAATTTTTTATAATTGCTAGATAGAGTATCTAGTGCAATGTTTCTCAACTTTGGCAATTTTTAAATGCTTGGACTTCAACTCTTAGAATTTCCCAGCCAGCCTGCTTACAGTTTACAATTTATAGCCATTAAAGCCAGAGGCGGTACTGAGGCCCACAAAAAATTAAATCAGCGGCCCATCTCTGTATACCTTGCTCTTATTTATTTATATTTTATTTTGTCTGTTAATTTTCTAAACAGCCTCAATCTTAGATAGAATGTAAGCGAAGCTAAGAGGAGGCCAATGCACATAACAGAGACACAGAGATAAAATAAATCCATAATTGCATTGCCTATTAAAATTAAGAATTATACATACTTTGCGATCTGCTGTTGGCAACGTCCCACCGGACTGCATCAGAATTCCAATGTGTGACCAAGACAGAAACACTTTCTCGTATATCTTGCTTAAAAGTGATTTCTTGTAGTTCATAAATAAGGATAACCAGCCCTACTTGGATTATTACTGGAAAAATCAGCAAGCGTGAGAGAGCATATACAAGGTTACCATCTAGAATTATTTCTCTATACGTATCCTTGCTGTTTTGCATCCCTAATGCAAAATAGCTGCCCTCTATCTTTGATGAATATGCCACAAAGCATAATATTTAATTTCCAG